TACTAAGGGCACAGCTAAATAAAAATTTTTAAAATGTTTTGGAAATAGCTGAAATCATCCTACCTTTGAAAGATGCATGGTGAAATGATCCCATCAATTCCTTAAACAAAGCAGCCCCTTTAAATAATTTTTTTATAAAGGCCCATAATTTCTCTTAATTTCACCAAGACAAATCAATAATATCTTATAACTCAGAAATGAAAAAAATCTATTATTAACCTAAGGAAGCTCAACAGATCTCTGGTCCCATTACCCCAATAAACACAGCACCTGTCTAGGTCTGTCTGTCTGTACCTCTCGTTTTTATGTTCAAAAATGAGAGGCTGGTCTTAGAATCTGCTGCTTTTTATGACATTTTAAAAATATTAAGTTAATTCAAAAGTTAAAATAAAATGCACATGATATCAGAGCTAGCCTTTTAATATAACATAATGAAGAATTTGGTGTATTTATACAACAGAGACAATGAGACAGTAACTCTAATACCCTTAACTACATAAATCAGAATTCTACAATACATTCGGTTACCTTTCTGTTTTTTTATAGAAGCACACATTCATCTCTCACACATGTGCCCCCAAAGTATATTTTTGCATGTGTGTAAAAAACATGGACACAGCACGCACACAAGAAATTTAATTCTATTTTTAAGTCACAGTGGGAATTCCTTAGTGAGGAGGGATAAAAAAGTTCCTGAATAAGACAATGAGAACATCTATTATTTTCTCTATTTTTACTTCCCAACTTACAGAATAAACTGTAAATGAAAGAACAAACCCATAGGAAATAAAAGAGGTCTTAAAAACTTAGTTTACAAATTGCAGCTACAGTAGTTGGAGTTTACTTGATCTATGTATTTCTATTTACCCTGTAACTAAGCTTCTAGCCATCTTAAGTGTAAACCACAGATCATTCACTAAAGAACATGATTCTCAACAGTTCTATGAACAATAATACATGGTCTAAAAGGTGTTCTATGTTTTGAGGCCCCAGGATACCCTTTTGTTTTATATATCTGCAAGGTAGCAAAGGATAGCTATACACCTTGACACGGCAGAGATCCAGTGTAAAAAGGTGCTTCACTAGTTTGTTTTGTCAAAAAAAAAAAAACAAAAAAAAGCTCATATATATAATTTTTTAGCTATTAAACACATAGCAACATAATTCATTACACTCAATACAGCTTTAGTATAAAACTTATAATTTATGAGGTGATGTTAATAGCATAAATTAATATACCTTTTCTCTTAAAATCTACAATAAGTATTCTGAAAGCTCATTGGGGAAGGATATTTTTAAATAAAAGTTTTAAAGCTGTGCGCGATGGGAAAGGAGTCTAAATATGCTGAAGCTGAGATGAGAGCTTGAAGTAGAAAGGAGAAAGTCCTAGGCAAGACACCATGGGTTATGAAACCAAATGTTTTCTTTCTTGCGCTCTCTTCAATGATGAGTCACCTTTAGTTTCTTTTAAAACTATTCTTATTTTAAAAACTGCCCTAATTTCCACAAGGAATCCCTGAGACTTACTCAATACTATACAGTGAAAAAGAATTATCACTGTTGAGAGGAAGTGATTCAACCCTTCCAAACAGATGAAAACAATGTCACCAAGTGTCAACTTTTCCATCATTGTAGCACTAATCCGTTAGAGCCAACTGTACCGTAACGGTGCAGGTTGGAGTCATTTCAGGGCCAGTCTACTCCCCAGTAAAAGAAATGGTGTGGCACTGAGCTGCACTGGAGGCTTCTGCCCTGCACACTGAAATGCTTTCCATAGGGAACTTTGGGTACATAGAGAGCTTAAACAGTGGTCCCCAACTTTAACAAACAAAAACAATGGGAAACAAGGGAAAGAAGGATTCTATTACTCTTCAGCCAAGATCACATGTGCATACTTCAGTCTTGCGGGCAGGCAGAGGTGACTAGGCAGAAGGAAGGAAGAAAAGAAAAGCTGTGCTACTCAGTATAGCACTCAGAAAAAAAAAAGATTTTCCTCTTACAAGACTGTTTTTCAGAATAAATTTCAGATCACCCAAACTCTGCTCTTCAACTTTCCAGACATTCCCAATTAGGGTAAAGAAAATCATCAAATTTCCTTTTTTCTGAAATGCTTCATCTCCTTTGATTAGGGAGGGAGGGAGGGAGGGAGGGAAGGAAGGAAGGAAGGAAGGAGGGAGGCAGGGAGGGAGGGAGGACAGCCAACAAAAAATAAAAAAAGGGCTGGAGTGAAAGAGGAAAAGCCTCCCCAAGTCTGACCCACAAGTTTACCACTACTGACACTGGTTATTAGAAGAGACACAAGTATGTGTTTCCTAACTCACTGCCAGGGGAAAAGGCATGTTCTTCACTGACATTTTGTTACACATCTTTTGAAAGACAGCATTTTAAAATGTTGCTTTAATTTACTAAATATGATTTTGGCCCCCTTTAGAATATGATACAGGAAAGTTTACAAAGGCCAAGATGTTAAGAAATCATGATACTGTTACTTTTCTGTAGAATGCCCGTGAAGATTTGGTTATTTTCAATTTATTAAGAAGAAAAAAATCTACATTTATATATATCCCACAAAATGTGTTTTGTTAGAAAAAAACCCTTAGAATAATCAAGTATTGGTAAAGAAATAAAGACTTTTCAGTATGATGAAGTTTCTTTTAAGGAATCCTCTAAATTGCCTCATTAAACTGGGGAGTTCTGTTGACCATTTAGTAGATCACTGTTACATTATCAAATACGTACCAGAATAATGGAATTTTAAAAGAAGGATACAAAGAAAAGGATGACATAACTGAAAAGTACACATCCAAAACAATTTTAATGAATTTCAAACCTATTAAGTAATTACTTTAGTGTTAATACCTCATCTTTGTGTAATACCAATCCACAACAACCTTTAAACTAAGCTAAAGAAAAGCAGTGTTGCCTTACGTAGGCATTGCTGCTAAAGCCTACAGTGTCCCCTATACCTGATGCAAGGCACAGAAAGTACTGCAGGCTAGGACCAATGAGCTAACAATAAGGGACTGACAATGTGGACTCAAATTCTAATGCAAATTATCAACAGTTTGAGCTACAGGTCCACAGAAACCTAATTTTTTCCTGTGAAAGGAAACTGTATGGACAGGGCACTGTGTTTGTGGCACAGACATGGTTTCCTTCTAGACACTGCACACTGGAATCAGGAACTGCAGGTGAACGCTAACAAGGAAAAGCTTTAGTGTTAGACACAGAGAATGAGCTACCCTTCCGTTGAGAGATTACTCAGAAATAAATCTTATAAATAGTTGTTTGGCAAAAATAAAGTATTAGCTTTCTTTAGCCTTAAACCACAAAAGATGGTAACACCAAATTTTAAGAAAAATAAAATTTAAAATAATCACTTTCCAACTTGTTCTCCATACCTAGAATATTTGCTTCTCACTAAATTATAATCTTCTCATAGAGGGACACTAGACATACCACGCTGCCTGCGAACATGAAATTACTCAGGAAGTCATTTATAAATCAAGTATATCGCACATGGTAGGTCTACTAGAGAAAATAATCCTTTGCTGTATAAGCTATGCGACAATAAGTAGAAAAATTTTTTGATTGCATAGTCTGAAACTTGGTGGGTTAAATGTAATTGCTCTTTAGTATCCTGAATTGTTTACTAGCTACATAACCTACCCAGATATGAAAACTGCTAAGCCATTTTGACAGAGGAAAAAACAATGAGTTGTGTGCTTTTATTAAATAACATTAACAGTTAAAGGAGAGAAAGCCCATCTTTCCAGCAGATGCTATAAATCACAGTCATTGAATAACAGGTCCTCAGAGCACAGAATGAATGAATCCATTAACTGCAGCAATTTTGAAAATTAAGTCACAGTACATAATCTTACTGGCCTTTATAAATGGTCCCCAAGAACTGCAGAAACAGTGAACCTTCTTTGCCATTTTTCTTCACATGTTAAACACTAGAGTAAGAGCTGTGTTTTACTTAATTAGGAACTTATATAAGATCTGTTTTTGATTCCAGTATTGCCTTATGATAAAATAAGTGCCATTTTAAAAGACATCAATTTTTATAATTTGAGTAAAAGATACTTCATTCTCTGTATACTTACAGCAAACCTAGTATTAATAGACTAGAATTGTTCTAATAAGTAACAGAAAAACTTAACAGATATCTCTGGGCTTATAGATAGATGTTCTCTCTTCTAACAAGGGACTCACAGAAACAGTGAAAGCAAAGCAAAGTGAAACCTTGGGTATTTATTTTGAAGCAGATGAAAAGAGGAAGCGTTTCTTTTAATTATTCAACCCTACACTGCTACTTTCTAAAGCCCTTTCCTATCAGGGGCCACTAAACAAAGTGAAAGTACTGAATGTTTTTGGTGTGAAGCTGTAACTGGCAACATTCCCAATCTTTTCATGCCTCCTTGCTAGAAAGCAGAGAAGGGCTTTTAAATGCACATAAAACAGAACATTGTGAACAACACAAGTGCAACTTACTGCAAACTCAGTTCTGACAGCTGAAGAACTTTAAGCAGCTAACAAAGGAGACAAATCGTCAGAAAAAGTTCAAATTAACTACTGACCCCCTTCACTGTCAAAAGACTGATAAGGAAGTGTACGTGCTGCTCTGCTACAACCTTTCATTAGTATACAACAGAGACAAAACAAAATCACTGGGAATGCAGTTCTCTAATGATGGTTATGATGGGATGTGAAAATAGCTTAGCAAACTAAATGACACTTTTGAGCAGAGGTAACTACTCATCATCATTTCATTACAGTGCACTAAAGTAAAAAAGCTTACTGACATAGGTTCACAGGTGAGAAGTATTCAAATTATCTGCTCTCACCACTCAGAATAGAAATTTATGGTGATACCAAATATAATTTTGCTTTGTGACATAATTTATAATTTAGAAATTTCTCAATCTGCAAAAAAGACAAAGCTATTAAAAATAAATCTTCCAATCAATAAACATGATTCTTTAAAAAAAAGTAAATATATTACAAACATATTTTTGGCCCCCCAAAAAAACTTCAATAAATACAAAACAGGGCATATCATGATTTCATACAGGCGTGTGACATTTCCCCCCATAAGCTCAGGCACGTGGTATCTGCATAATGCCTGCTGATCACCATTATTCTTTTTAAAAGCAGAGAAAGAAAAGCTTTCAAAAGAAAGGTCTGGTTACAACTAGCATGGCATGAAAATACATACAGGAAGTAGGAAAATACATCAAATTTTTACCTATTAGGAAAAGAAGGAAGATGAAATGCTCCCCAACGAATGAGTTGTACCACATCATTAATACATTTGATCTCTCTACTTATCTTTTAAAATATGTATGTGTAAATTAGACTGGATTCAGATATAAACAGCCAATGGTATGAAGGGACAATGAAACTTTGCAGCAAACGTAAAGATGCCTTTAAAATCTAGCTCCACCCTTCTGGGAGAAGTGGGGGGAAAGGCAGGCAAGAAGAAACATCACATATTCATTTCATAGTTACCAACTTACTAAACTACCCAATGTAACTTTTAACCCTAAAATTCTGGTACTTTAAAAGAATTTCCCCAACTTATTCCCAAATTGACTTAAACTTAAGTACTTAAATTATTTTAAAAGTACCAAACACAGGTACAATTTATGTCTAATTTCCACATTCTGCTTTGAAACAAACTTTAAAATGTGTATCCTTCAGATATTACACATCACTTCACAACTGGTACACTGATTCTACAAGCGTCTTCAACATTTTACAAATCTTACCAAAGAATCACTACCGTAAACATGAAAAATTCAAAAGCAAAAGATGGACCAAGAAGTTCACAGATTTTATCCTTCAGATCTATCTCACCTATTCTGCCTTTTCACATCAAAACAGTTCCTTCAAAACATCTTGCAAATGTATTCCATGAGCAAGGGACTTAAAATAAATGCATATCTGAAAAGGGCAAAGTGACCACCCCACAGCCACTCCAGGCAAACTTCGCATGACATCCGTTGCTGACACGATTTCTGCTTTCTGTGTCCTGTTTCTTCATGGACCAACACTTAACAGAAAGATGTTGTGCTGTTCACATGACCAGGCCATCCACTTCTCTATTCAGGAAATTTTAGTTAACTCAGTGGGACAGAAGGACCAACATTACTAGGGTGTGAAACATCAGAAAGGAAAAGAACCTTCTACTCATCAAAGGGAGTTAAAAAACAAACAACCGGACGGCTACTTCCTGCACTGCACAAAACATACGCATGGGTGCATATACACGCACAGGTGGTCAAAGATGCTGCTTCCTTTGCAGCCAACCATGATCATGAGTAGGAATGACATCCTGGCCTCATCGTGGTGGCTGGCAGTTGGTGCTAAATTAGAGCCTTGACCTGCCTCTCCACACCACCTGTTACTTCCTACACAGAAACCCAAAGAACAGGATCATTCAACCTAGACCCACCTATGTAGAAACCTGGCTGGAGAATGAAAAGCATTGATCTGGATACTAGCAAATAGTAAAGGGCACTGGTAATCTGAGGTATCTTCCACTTCTAGGACTTGCTGCTCAAAATCAATCCTCTCCAGTCACTGTGCTGAACCACCAGGAAATGGCTAGACCACTGGGCCTGCCAGAGGGAAGGAGCACCAGTGCCGAGGAGCACGTGTGAACACTGAGGCAGGCCTGCTCATGGCCACCTGCAGGACTAGGAAGGCAGCGCCCCTCTCATCCCCATCTGCGACTTGGAAATCTGTTAGGAAAGGGGAGAAGGGTGCTAAAGAGGAAACAAAGAAAACCTGGGTTCCCGCCTGCCTGGAGACACAGATGCGCTCAGTTAGGGGAGGGAAAGGGAGAGGACGCATTATTGGTACTTGTAGCTGTGGCACCTGTCACTGTGAAGCCTGTAGGGGGCGCTATGGAGCTGTGGCTGGGTTGCACGTCCTTAGGGATGCCACTGTGAGCACTCAGCTGGTGGCCAAAGGCTGCGCTGAACTGAGGCAGCTGCTGTTTGGGAGAGGTGGAGGCCATGAGTTCTGCAGAAGGCCCCATGCCACTGAAGCTGGTCTGTGGCAACCCCGGGAGCACACTGGAGCTGCTGGGGGTCGCGGTGGCGAAGGCAGGCTGTGTGGTCTCTGAGTTCGAGGTGGTGGGCGGTGTGGAGAGGGAAGTGGAGAGAAGATGTCCGTCTGCGCCAAGAAGGTTGCTGAATGGAGAGGGCTCACCGAGGTTGACGGGGAGGTTTCCCCAGTGAGTTCTGGGGTTTACCACTCCTCCAAGTGGCACCTCAAGTTGTGTGGGGAGCAAATGCTGTGCCATGATGGGCATCTCTGCTGAAAAGGTAGCTGCCATAGTATCACCAGAGTAAGATGTCGTGTGGGGCGAGGTGATATGGTCACTGTAGGGAGACGGCACATGCTCGCTATCATAATGGCTTCCATGGGGCGAGGAGTGTGAATGGTCACTGCTGTATTGCTGTCGTGAGGTGATCAGGTCGTCTGCCTTGCTCAGCAGCTGGGCAGGATGTGGCCTCTGCGAGGCATGGCTGCCGTCGTGGACTCCATGAAATGGTCCTGGGAAGGCTCTCTCCCCGAGTGCACTCTGGCTGATCAGAGTGGCAGAAGTAAGGCCAACGTTGGCTGGGGCAGAGAACTGCCCCTGGATCTGCCCTGCCAGGGGTGTAGGTGGGTTAGACAAGGTAGCAGAACGGAGCAGGTTCTCATCCAGCTCTAAACTAGAAAAATTATCAGGTACTATACGCCCGTTCAATAGCTCCCCTAAGTCTGTGTTCACTTCTCGGCTCAAGGACTGGATTCCTGAAGCTCCAGTGCCTGTGGAAAACACCCCTATCCCTCTATCTGACAACTCCTGGACTGGCACACCATCTGAATGGGAAAGCACCCCAATGGTACTCAGGCACTCGAGAGAAGTGACAGCCTGCAAGGCCCGCTCAAGCTCCTCGGCCTCTTCGCTCATCGGGAGGAGGTCTCCATTCTTTCCTGAGTCAAGAAAAGGCATCAAGAATCAGTAGAGTGCATATCTGTCTACAGTACAATAACCACACATTTAAACTAGTTTAATTAACATTCCAATGAAAGAGATGCCCTCCTGAAAAGAGAAATTTCTAAGAAGTGGCTTGGATGGAAAAGTAAAATATTAATTTATAGGACAAATCTGAAACATCAGCTGTCTTGAAACTTGAATCACCACCTTCAGTTTATTCATAATATTCTCAAAAACCATTTTATCAACTGGTCATGGTGGTGCATGTCTGTAATTTCAACTTCTCAGGAGGCCGAGGCAGGATGATCCCAAGTTCAATACTAGCCTGGGCAACTTGGCAAGACCTAGTCTCAAAATAAGACTCCTGTACTTCCCCAAACAAATCAAAACAAAAATCATTTCATTAAGTTCTTAAGAACCCTCTGGATTACCAAGTTAAAACCTATAATGGCCATGTGATTACATGTTTTATCTAAAATCATATTAAAGTCATTACAACAGAAAACAAGGCTGTGTAGAACAGGGGCATCTTACCCTATTGATACCTACATTCTTCCAGCTGGGGAAGACGGGACAACAGAAAAATTCATGTGTATATTTTATAGAACAGCTTAAACACTTAGTTCATTAAGCACTTGGTTACTTCTCATTGTTTTACTTGCTGATCCTTCTCACTCTTCTCAATTTTTCAGCCCACTTTCGAAATTTTAAAAATCTATTGTTAGGAACTTGATTAATTACCATGGAAATATCCACTTTTTAGTGGCAAAAAAAAAAAAAAAAAAAAAAAAAAAAATTCCAAGAGTACAAAAGAAATCCCTTGAAACCACTGGGACAAAGCAAACTTTGTTTTGGAAGAATACATTTCAGTTGAAGGACAGGGGTGGGTAGTAAAATTAGGGCAGGTTCTTTTTCCTCCAATACTGGGCATTGAACCCATGCTATTCATATGCTATACAGGTGAACTACATACTCAGCCCTTTATTATTAGTATTATTTTGATTTCAGCCAGAGTCCTGCTAAGTTGACTCAAGCTGGCCTTAAATTTGAGGTTCTCCCCCTCAGTCTCCTAATTAGTAAGGAGTATAGGCATGTACTGCTACATTCTGCAAAATTAGGAACCAGTGCTCTAAAAGACTTCAATAAACTGATATTTTACATGACCTTATTTTAATATAAATTACAGTAAAATTGTTCATTTTAAAAGAATAAAGTTATAGATTTCACCATCAAAGTATTAAGCATATAATATGGTTAAACAAATTATACAGTCTTCACTTCTGCAAAAGGTAGATAAATATATGTATCTACCTCTACAGTAAAAAACACGTTATATGAAGAACATTTCAGACACCTACCCCAAAACCATTTCCCTTCTTATAAACTCATTCTTCAAACCAGCTTCCTTCTTCAAAATATTGACCATACCTTCAAAAAAATCAAAATCCTGTAGATCATCAGGTAGCCTGGGCAGGACGTCAGAGAAGTCCTCCTGGTTCAGTTCCAAGTCGTGTGGAATGTCACTGATCTCATTGGCAATGTCTTCCGGCAATTCATCAGCACTCAGCTCTGGGGTGGATGGGCTCCTGGAAGACAGTGTGGTTGGTCCTGGGGCCACAACCTCCACACCAGTGTCACCAAGACAAGTTCATCCAATAGGAAAAGTAGCTAATGTCTGTTAGGTCTTTATACTCAACATGACCATGGGAAGTTGTAACAGAAAACTTCTCCTTCCCTACTTTACGAGAAGGAAATTTGAGAGTAGACACATTGCAAAAAAGACCTGGTCACAATCAGCCACATATTTTTGCAATCTGTATCAATGACTGAAGTAAGACAATCAATAGTAGATGTTAGTTTCGCTTTAAATCAATAGAATGAATCACAATCGGGGTCTATCAAATATATGTTAATACATTTTAGTAGAATTTCAAATCTGATAAAAACAGTAATTTTAAAAATGAAGTAAACAGGTAAAACTAAAATGCTTAGCTGGAAAAGAAGCCATCTGGTCAAAATGCTTAAGTCTGATAAAACTAATAATGTATCAAATTTCTTATGAAATATTTGTTGGAACACATGAACTTCATTTTAAAATAGAAACATCTGAGAATATTCAATTACATTCTCAATTTTAGCATCTTCTCACTTTGCTGTAGTCAGTTTTGATACTGCTAAGATCTGTATAAAAAACTACAAAGAGAACTCTGGGCTGATGGACTCAATGGCTAGGATACCCACACCATGGCAGACTGAGAACAATCAAGAAACACAAGGAAAAGCAAGACTGGTGCCACCACTGACCGGATGTGAGGTGCCTCCACTGGCAGTGAGACGCTGGTGGGCATGCTGAGGTTCCCCTGAGGGACTGCAGGGGGAATGGGCTTCTGGGGTCGACGAGGTCCACGCCGTCTCTTTTTCTTGTGTTTTTTGGTAAGTGCAGGAGGCTTGGTTTTTTTCCTGGGTTTCCTCTGCTGCTGGTGCTGAACTTTACGAGAGTTATCTCCTCTCAAGAAATTATCCTTTGGAGTGAATAAAAAACTGAGATTATCCACTAATCAACACTTGCCCTTCTACTTTCCTGGTTTGTTAATGTACAGTAAGATGATTACAGATAAAAAGAAGGTTGTGTGGATTTTAACCACTTCACAATTTACCCTGAGCATTTCTTGGGCAGCATGTTTGTTTATGTACTAACTGTCCTGTATGTTGCTTAGGCAGATGTCATTTCATCCAGGCATTTCTTGTTTGCAAAAGATACACTCATAACATCTGTTTATTTGCTTTATATTGACTATTTTTTGCATACCTTTTTATTTAAATGTTGTATTTGTCTTTGATGTTTGTTTCTAGTGAAAAGTATTTCTAGTTATTTTAAGTAATGTTTTTATTTATGAAAAGTAAACTACAATCTATAAAAAGTCTTATTGTAAGTACATCAGTCAGGGATTTAATTCAGTGGTGCCGCCACTTGCAAGTGGAAGGTCCTGAGTTCGATCCCTGAAAAACATCCCAAAACCAAAAAACATTATGGTGTGTAAGGACATCAGATATAATTTTGGTGCTTCTCCAAAACTCAGTGATATTTTTTTACAATGTAATATGGTAATGGTTTGGGACAATGAGACTGAATAGGAAGGAAGTCCCAAAAGATCTGCAAAAGAAAAAACTGAAAAAGAGAAAAATGTTAGCATATTAGAGAGAAAATGTCTGTGTTATGCAACAGAAAGACCAAAAAAAAGTTATCTTCTTACTGTCAAATACTCATAATACAGAAATGATAGAATTTGAAAGAAACAAAAATTTTAAAATTCCAATAGGGGTCAATGATTATAATAACTCTATGGGTGACGCTGGCCATCTAACAAGCTTCCCTGTAATCAAAAACAAGGAAAAAAAGTTATAATAAAATATTTATGCACCTTCTGGACCAAATATAGAACTCATTTGCTGTTTCAAAACAAGGGGGCTCAAAAAGTCATTTGCAACGTAGATTAGGTCTAATAGACCAACTAATTGAAAAATGTGGGACAGCAAAATGCCAAGCAGGATGTCCATAATCGACGTCCTCATCATTACTTTTTGTAGGTAGACATTTTACTGAAATTCTATCACCCTCAGAAAAAAAGGAAAGGCAAACACAACAGTGTAAAGTATGTTGTTCAAAGAAAGGCAATAATGCAAAAAAGAATTTGGAAAGACAGTAGATACTACTGTCTAGATTTAACACTGTGTTGTGTACTCAATGTTTTAAGATACAACATACAGAGAAAAATTATATTTGTTGTATTATAAAAATTAACAAAAATTGTAATTTTTGGTCACTATGTATTTAAATAATTGGACTGGTAAGTAGTAAAAGAATTAAGCCAGGGCCGCGGATTTAGCTCAGTGGTGCCACTGTCTGCCTCACAAACGCAAGGACCCGAGTTTGATCCCAAGTACCAAAACAACACACACAAACACAACTAAGCCAGGTATGGCAGTGCAGGCTTGTAATTCCAGCACTTGAGAGGCTGAGGCAGGAGAATGCCACGGGTTCCAGGCTAGTTCAAGCTACACAGTGAGTTCACAGTCAGAACAAAATACATACTGAGACTCTATCTCAAAAAACAAACAGGGCCAGGGATTCAGCTCAGTGGTTCTGCTGCCTGCCTCTCAAGCACAAGGTCTCAAGTTTGATCCCCAGTACCAAAAAATCAAACCAACAAACACTAAAAAAGTGAAATGAACTAAAAGGATTTTCAAAGCTTTTATCATAAAAAATGATAAGTGAGGAGATAAGTTTAACCTGATTTAAATATTACACATTGCATACATATAATGAAAGGTCCTATGTTATCCCATTAATATGTGCAATTTTAATGTCTCTGTAGGGTCTGGGATCTGTAGACAAGAAAATAAAGCAGGGGCCCCTTTAGGTCTTCTAGCTAATCCTGACTAGTAGTTAAAAACAAATTTTACTAGGGACATTCTCTTGGGAAATAGGTCAAGGATGGGGTTAGAAAGAAAAAAACAGATAAAAGAAAGGCACTAAAATGGCCTTGGGACTTACACCAAGAGACCTAAGAGCTGAAAGGCAGGACACAGAGAAAAAAGCCAAGTGCACAAACAATAAGTCTCCCCAACCTCCAAAAGAATATAGGGGGGAAGGGGAAACTACTAACTTTAAGGCAGTGTGTACTCACACCTATGCACTAATATACACATACATCTGTGTATTCACTCTAGGGTCATGACAGAGAACAACACATACCCTTGTTTACTAGCTCTAAACTAACCAAAGGTATCCCCTTGCAAACAAGCCACCTACTCCAAAGATAAGGCCTTAAAAGGTAGGTCAAGGACAAGCAAATAGAAGGAAAGAAGCTGCATACAACTAGGGGCGGGGATCTAGCTCAGCGGTTCCACCACCTGCCTCTTAAGCACAAGATCCTGAGTTTGGAAAAAAAAAAAAAAAAAAAAAAAAAAAAAAAAAAGCCGCATATATCACTGGAAGAAATGACTGTAAGCAAAGGTGCCCCGAAGCCAATTCAGTCTTGGCAAGGTCAGCAGGGAAGGGGAGGTCCTTCTGATACCCCTCACCCCCATAAAAGCAGCTAAGAACAAAGGCCCCTAGTTCTTCCATCCTTCTGGATCCCCTACCTGATTCTCATCAGAACAGATATCTGTCTTCTTTCTCCCTCTTCCTTTTCCTCTTTACAAATAAAGTGTCTTCCTTTAATTAAACTTTGTCCCTCTAATCTTTTATTGGAGCTCAGTTTATGTTTCCAGTGGGCTGCTCACACAGCAGAGGAGCAGTGCCTGTCCCCCAGATGTGACACTTTTGGTTCCCTGATCAGTAGCAGATGTGACATTTTCACATCCCAGTTAAAACAAATGCAGTTTTTAGAGAACTAGATTATCTGAGAAAAACCCAGCAACACTCTTAAAAAAAAAAAAAAAAAGAAGTTCTCTATATTCTATATAATACCTAAAACACTCAAAAACTATATGTATATATGTATGTATTTATTATATTGGTACTGAGAATTGAACTCAGGACTTTGCCCTTGTGAGGCAGGCATGATGCCACCAAGCTAAATCCCTGGCCCTCTCAAACTGTATTTAATTCACATTGATTCATCTCATTATACATTTAAAAAACATCCTATGTGCTACAGTACAAGAAAAATCTTAATTTATGGCCTCCAAGAACTCTTCTTCAGGAAAAACATGAATAAAAATATGCATAAATACAGTAAACAAAATTAGGCAATGGGCCGGGGACTTAGCTCAGTGGTTCCACCACTTGCTTTGCAAGCACGAGGTCCTAAGTTTGATCCTCAGTACCAAAACAAAACAAAACAAAACAAAATTAAGCTATGACAATGTAAACACATCTCAAAGGTACACAAAAAGAAAATTACTTGTAGCTTTGTGAGACTAAAGGATAAGTAAGATATTAAACGGTGGATGAAAAAAATTAAAAGGAGAAAAACAGCAAAGAACTGGGTCTGACTGCTATTTAGAGTGTAATGGGGGATAAAATACAAAAAGTAAGCTGTAAAGGAATTCAGGCTGAGAGGGTGTATTGTTTTGAGTATCCTGTTAAAAGTTTCAAACTTTAGAGCTGGGATTTAGCTCAGCGGCTCTGCTGCCTGCCTTGCAAGTGCAAGGTCCTGAGTTCAATCCCCGGTAAAAAAAAAAAAAAAAAAGTTTTAAACTTTATTTAATAGGCAGTGCAGAGCTGTTTGCTTTGTTTTATTTCTGTGGTTCTGGGGATGGAACCCAGATCTTCAGATCCGAGAGCTCCGCTGATGTGAAGATATCTCCAGGTACCATTAGGTGATACAGAGCACAAGGCAAAAAGAAGCTGATTCAGAAGAGAAGATAAGGAATTCAGTGTGGCTCACACAGTCTGAGAAAGGTAGATGCCTAGGGAGCTGGGTGAAAGCTATATCTGTGCACAGGAACAAAGATAGGGACGAAGATGCAGACAGGTAAATCCATGACACAAGGAACTGATGTGAGCAGAGATAATGCAAAGAGAAAGGACAATGAGCACACAGCTGTATAGACCGAAGAATGGGACTGGTGCCTTATAAATGAGACCCCAGAGATGTACACAGCTCCCTGTCTACCACATGAGAATACAAGAATGCTGGCAGGGTACAACACAGAGGGAAACCCTACCAGACTCCAACCACACTGGCACCCTGGTTTTGGACTTCTGGCATCTGGAACTGAGAAATACATTTTTGTTGTTACAAATTCCACAGTGTGAGACACAGATATAGCCCTTTGAACAAAGATGCCATACTTCATCAATTCCAGGATGTACTCTGATAAGTACTCTGATAAGAATCTCTGCAATTGGGAAGGATTTTATAATCACTCTGTCTCACAGTGGCTGTCAGTCAGGTGATGGTCAATATAGTTAGCACTGCCTGAAGACATGCTCAGACTTGGCTACGGTTTCCACACTGGCATCATTTGAATAAAGATGTGTGCACTATTAGCGCAACATGAGGGGGAAACGTTTGTGTAAGTAGAAAGGTATAAAGAGTAGGAAAGTATGACTGGTAATAGTGAAGTAAGTACTCATACTGAAGAACTGATCACAACTCCTTTTTATTCAGTGCAAAACAACAACCAAGTGAGAAAAGAAAATAGCCACAAAGTGATAATCTGCCTTTCATATATTCCATAGTACCAGCTAAGATCAGGAATAACAGACTCCGATAAAAATCCATGTCTACCCTGGCTGTGTTGGCAAACGCCTGTGATCCCAGCTACCCAGGAAGTTGAAAGAGAATAACCACAAGTTTAAGCACAGCCCAGGCAACTTGGTAAGCTGACTTCAAAATAAAAAATAAAAGGGCTGGGAGGTGGCTCAGTGAAAAGGCCAATACCTAGTACCACGGGGAAGTGGGGATGAACCCACATCTGAGTAAGTCTTTAAAAGGCTCTTTTAATAAGTATAAAACAAAAATTCTAAGTAATATATTGGAACATCTTTTCTTTCTTGAAAACAGTATACAAAACAGTAATGTTTACAACTTATAATCTTTGATCCCATGAATTCAGTAATAACTTTAAAAAGATCATAACAATAGATTTGAAAATTAATAACAATCACTTGCAGCAAATAAATTCAAAACAGGAAAGTAAAAACTTAAAGCATAAATTCAAGAAACTCAAACATTTGAACGCAAACATAATTACAGATGTCACAAATACAAAACTGATCGACTGAGAAAGACAGACTCTGCTCCCCAGGATATGTGGATATTTTTGGTTCAGTACTTACAGTCTATTTCTATGATTTAATTCAGCAAGTGATTTATCTCATCCACTAGTGTGCTTGGCATCCACCTCAGGCTTCCCCAAGCACCAGCACTAGGCTCTGCAGGAGGATATCCAGCAGCTCTAGCTTGAGAGGTTAACAACCAACTCCCAGGGACTCCTGGAACAGGTTCCTGCCCAAGTCTGCTAAGCGGATCTCCAGAGCCTTGTGACATTCTTAACACTGTATCAGATACTCCACACAAACTCCTTGGGAGAGACACCTTGCCTTGATCTTGCCCCCTCCCCATTAAGAGCATCTACTCCCTGGAAGCTTTCCCAGTGCTAGTGGTTCACCTACCTAGCATTAATGAATCCCCAAACACTATTCATTCCCACTCCATCTTTCTACCTCTACATCAGGACAAACTATTTTCTTACTTACCACCTGTACATGACCTGCATAACACCACATTTTGCTGGCTATCCTGTACGTCCTGGGCTGGATATCCCACCCAGTGGCTCAGTTTTGTTCTGAATCTTCACCATTCCCAGCCATGGGCTTAAGCATGAATTTATTCAACAATTACATACTGTAGGGGCCGGGGATTTTGCTCAGTGGTGCTGCCACCTGCCTTGCAAGCACAAGGACCTGAATTCGATCCCTGGTACCAAAAAAACCCAATTACATACTGTATTGACCATCCTCTGTCCTAAGGACTAAGGATATAGCAATGAACAAAAATGTCTGCCCTTGTAAAGTTTACATTCTAGTAGAATATCTCATCAAATTTTAATTAAATGGAGTTGTGAAGCATGTAGAAATATGGGACAAGAGCATTCCAGAAACACAGAGAAGTGCAAAGCTCCTTTGGTATACCAGAAAAATAACAGAAGACCAACACTGCTGGAAGTCCAGGAAGGGAAAAAACAAGGTAGGGGATGGAGCTTAAGAGGTAGCCCTGATCAGAGAGTGCCTCTTAGGCCATAAGAATTTCAGATTTGAGGGTGTGGTGGCACATGATTATAATCCCAGCACTCAAGAAGCTGAGGTAGGAGGATTACCACAAGTTCAAGGCTATCCTGGGCTACACAGTGAGTTCTAGACCAGCCTGTACTATTTAGTGACCCTATCTCAAAAAACAAAACAAAATTCAGATTTGACCCTGGATGTGATGGAAGCCATTCAAAAGGCTCTATCATGGAATGAAAATGATTAGATGTCTGTTTTTAAAAGGTCTGCTCTAAAGGCTATATGCTGCGTGATTCCACTGATGTAACACTGTAGAAAATGCAAAATTATAGGAAATCAAAACAGAATAGAGGAGATGGAGTAAAAAGTTGACTACAAAAGAATGCAGGAAGATGATTGGACCAGTGTTTATCTTGATTATGGGAGGGTTATACAATGTCATGGATTTGTCAGACCTAAAAGAACTGTGCACCAAAAGGATTGAACTTTTTTTTTTTTTTTGGTATTTTTGAGACAGGGTCTCACTAAGTTGTTGAGACTGACCTGGAATTCACTATGTAGCCCAGGCTGGTCTTGAATTCACAGCACTCCTCCTGCCTCAGCCTCCCCAGTGCTAGGATTACAGGCATGTGCCACCACACCTGGCCAAAACTGAACTTGACTCGAACAAAGTAGAGCTCACACAGAGCCCAATCTGGCTGTTATGTGAACACACTTGTTTGTGTGTGCAAAAGGATAGGTAGAGCTGGTGTGGTGGTACATGCCTATAATACCAGTACTCAGGAGCCTGTGGCAGGAGGATTGCTGCGAGTATGAAGCCAGCCTGGGCTACAAATCAATATCTTGTCTCAAAAACAAACAAAAAAAGGATGGGTATACAAGAAGGAAGATGAATCAAGATCCTGGCTATAACAATAATCTAGGCAAAGATAATGGGTAAGAGGTTTTAAGTATTTGTTGTGGTCTCTTAAGTAAAAAAAATTTTTTTGGTACCAGAGATAGAACTCAGGACTTTGTGCTTGTGAGGTAGGCGTGTCACTACTGAGCTAAATCCCTGGCCCTCTTAAGAAATTTTTAACCTAAAGCAGAAAAATTCACCCCACCCCATTTCTCTCTCAGGTTTGTTTTTGTTTATACTACTTGGGATTGAACCCAGGGCTTTGTGCATGCTGGGCAAGCACTCGCACACTGAGCTACACACATCTCTGGCTCTTTTAATTTTGAGACGGGTCTCACAGAGTTGCCCAGGATGCCTTGGGACTTTCAGTTCTCCTGCCTCCCAAATAGTTGGGAATCACAGGCATGCATCACCACACTGGGCTGAGAAAACCATCTTCAAAAATTTATATTATGAATACTTTTTTATAAAGCTAATATTTATTTACATTATATTTTAAATTTTACATCACTATATAAAATACATCATTTTCTGACTTAGGTTTGCCTCACTGAGTTTGTCTAAGTAACAATTACTTTTTGCATAAGTAATATTTAACCACCCAAATGAAAGTAAGTTGCTTTGAATTTCTTCAAAATCAGTCACATAGTTGTTACATAACTTTTAAGCTTCACTAAAATTATTAAAACAGATTCTGCAATACAGCTTCCCTATTTAACAGTTGCTCCTATTTTAACAACTACGCTGGAATTGCAGAACGTTAACATCAGAATAAATAGCTGGCAGCCTTCAGTGGCTGAGAGCTGCAAGGCCCACATTACCAAGGGCCTCGGAAACAGCCAAACCTACAACAGTAATTCAAAAAGCCTACGGAAATTATTCCTCATCCACTACAAAATCTCTATAGGCTAATAATGCCTAAAGTATTTTAAAATGAAAATGGGAACACAAATTCAGCAACACGTATATGTACACTCTAGTGTTCAAATTTTTCAAAACACATGGCTCACAAGAAATTAAAAGCACAGGGGCTGTTGAAGCAGCAGTGAATGACACCCACAGAAGAGATCCAGGTTGAGCCATCACCCCGTTTAGACAGTCAGCTAATGACAAAGCCCAATGCCTACTCTGTTACCCAGGAAACTGCAAAGTGCTTACAGAGGGCAGGAAGTGGCTTGTCCAACCTTTTGATACATACAGTACCCAGCACAATAACTGTCAGTAACTGTCTGATGGATGGGAATAATTATCAGAGAATATTTTTGTTGTTTTTTTGAACTGCTAGGATGAACCCAGGACCTCACACATATTAGGCAAGCATTCTACCACTGAGCTTCATCTTGAGTACTCAAAAGAACTTATTTTAAATAATTAATTATATATTGCAGCTGGGGATTTGGCTCAGTGGTTCTGCTGCCTGCCTTGCAAGCACAAGGACCCAAGTTCAATCCCCAGTACCAAAAAAAAAACAAACAAACAAACAAACAAAAAAACCTATCTATCTATCTATCAATCCAGGTGTGTTATTGCAGACCGATATTCTCAGTACTTGAGAGGCCGAGGCAGGAGGATCTCAGTTCAAGGCCAGGTTGGGTATGTAGTGCATTGAAAGCCAGCCTGAACTACATAACACGATGCTGCTCAAATAAACAATTAATTAATTCAGATATTTAATTAACTCAAACTTGTCTTTCCTCCAAGTTATTCTGAATTAGAGTTTATGATACTAGCAGTAACTAACGCAATAATTAAGTTCAACAAAATTATAGAAAGATTTGGCATTTGTTCAAAATTTTATCAAATATCTATGACATCCACAAAACAGTAAGAAAGCAAAAACCTAGAGAAAATGAGGGCTATGTATATGATCAAAAATGTAGTAAATAAAAAAAGGGAAAATGTCAGTGAATGTTTAATTTTTTTTTTTTAAGATTACAATAAAAGGGGCCAGGGATTTGGCTCTGTGGTGCTATTGCCTGTTTTGCAAGCCCAAGGACCAGAGTTCGAACCCTGGTACCTGAAAAAAAAAAAAAAAAAAAAAAAAAAAAAGATTACAATAAAAGACATATTGCCATTATTTCTCCTCAAAATACTCTCCCTTGCTTCAGACATATTCATGCTATCATTCTTGCCACTTCCTTTTGGTTTTAAGGTCTCACTATGTAGTTCAAGCAGGCCTTGAACTTTGGGTGATCCTCTTGCCTCAGCCTCCCCAGTGCTGGGACTACAGGTGTATGCCACCATGCCCAGTTCATTTTTGCCACCTTCTGAAGCAGTCCTGGTGGTCCTTTTTCTAGAGTGTCTTTATTAGTTACACTGTCATGACTGTTGATATCCTGAATTGATTTACAATGTTTACCATTCATGGTCGTTTTGACTTTGGGAGAGCCAGAAGTGACAAAGTGCCAGACAGGGTGAATAGTGTGGATGAGGGTGCATCATAAAGTTTTTGGGCTGCCTTTCTTGTTGGATGATACTCAATGCCAGCATTCATTGTACTTTTTAGCACAACTCATAAAGATATGATGTGTGCAGAAGTAGTACAGAATAGGAAATGATAATAAATAAAACAATTTCATCTAGGTAACTATAGACTGAGTATTCCGTATCTGAAATGTTTACGGACTAGGTGAGGCTTTGGGGCTTTTCAAATTTTGGAAAATTTGAATAATTTATAGATGAGTATCCTTAATTTAGAATTCTGAACTGTAACACAGAATGGCACACTGTTCTATGTCATAAAGCATTTCTCACTGTAGACAGCCATTAGGGGTTAACTCACCATTTTTTTGGCATGTTCTTCACACAACGGCGTCTGGTGTGTGATGTCAAACACGGGCACCGAGCACTGCTGCCCATCTGCAAACCTGGCGGTGCAGCTGGAAAAGAGCTGCTGGGAGCGGTTTGAGAGGATGTCTGGGAGGTGAGTCAGGGTTAAAACATAATGCAATGCTACTCAATCTCTCACCCTCTTTATAACATGTTACTTCCCTTGCTCGTGTTTAGTAAACATGAATTTTTATCATCTACAAAAGTCAAAATGCCAGGAGAAAATGCTAACAGATAAGCCTGGTGTCTTGCCTATCAGAGGAAGCTTCTGAAAGAATCCTTGGCTAGTGGGCTTCAGACACAGCATCTCTGATGGCTACTAGGAACCCATCTCTGGAGAAGCACAATCACTTCCTAAAAGATTAACTCCTAAAACTTCTACTGTAACAAACTTTTAAAAAGAATATGCTCTGGGATTGGGGATTTAGCTCAGCGGTTCTGCCGCCTGCCTCCCAAGTGCAAGGACTCAAGTTCGATCCTCACTAACATAAACAAACAAAAAACCTCCCCCCCCACACACACATATCTGGGCGGGGGATTTAGCTCAGTGGTTCTACCATCTGCCTTGCAAGAGAAACGTCCAAAATTTGATCCCTGGTACCAAACAAAACGAAACAACATCTGTCTAAAGTTTAGTATTTCATTTTGCATTTCCAACACCAAACTCAAATTCACAATTTATGAAAAAAAAGATATTTAAGGCTGCAAAAAAAAAATTTTAGCGGGGGGTACTGGGGATCAAACTCAGGTCCTCGTGCTTGCCAGGCAGGTGGCAGAACCACTGAGCTAAATCCCCAGCCCCCAAAAGATATTTAAATAAAAACCTTACTTAAAATGTGAACATCAGTTTTCCATCATTAACATTCTGGAGCATTCACACCCTTAACTACTAATATATATTTTTGTAACATTTACTTTCTGGGTTAAGAGTGTAGCTCAGTGATGGAACAAGTGCTTATTAGCAAGTGCCATGCCCCTGTTTGGTTTTCCATCAAGCCAAAACACATCAATCAATCAATCAATCAATCAATGAAAAAAATTATTTTCTATTAAGAAGGTATCTTTGTGTCTTTTCTTTATATTGCATAGGTATTTATAAAACCTTTATTATGTAGAAACTGCTGCTGAAAAAGCTATGAAAACATACTTCCAAGAACAGGAGGGCAAAAATCAGAGTGCAAAAAGTAAGTAACTGCCATAAATATTTAAAGTATTGGGCTGGGGATTTATCTCAGTGGTGCTGTTGTCTGCCTTGCAAGTGCAAGGTCCCCAGTTCCATCTCTGGTACCAAAAACAAAAACAAAACAATTACAATAGCATCCAAAAAAATGAAGTATCTAGGAATCAATCTAACAAAAGAAGCAAAAGATCTCTACACTGAAAACTACAGCACTCTGAAAAAAAGAAATGGAAGAGGATATAAAAAAATGGAAAGATATCCCCAGCTCCTGGGTAGGAAGAATCAACATAGTGAAAATGGCCATACTACCAAAACTTCTACATACATTCAATGCAATGCCAATTGAAATTTCAACACTATATTTCACAGAACTAGAAAAAAGAATCCAAAAACGCATTTGGAACCATAAGAGACCTAGAATAGCAAAAGCCATTTTAGGCAACAGACACATGGTACCAGGTATAACAATCCCCAATTTGAAACTATACTAAAAAGCCACTATGATAAAAACAGCATGACACTGGCAAAGAAATAGGCCTGAGGATCAGTGGAACAGCCTGGAAGACACAAAAACAAACCCAGATGTACTCGGCTACCTCATCTTTGACAAAGGAGCCGACCATCCTCAGTGGAGGAAAGATAGCCTCTTTAACAAATGGTGTTGGAAAAACTGGATGTCAACCTGCCACAGATTAAAATTAGACCCTTATCTTTCGCCATGCACTAAATTAAAATCCAAATGGATTAAAGATCTAAATATTAAAACAGAAACATTAAACTTGCTGGAAGGTAAGTTAGGCAGAACTCTGGAAGACATTGGTATAGGAAAAGACTTTATGAACAAATCCTCAGTAGCACGGGAACTAGCAGAAAGAATCAACAACTGGGATCTCATCTTACTAAAAAGCTTCTGTACTTCAAAAGAAACCATTAGCAGAACTAAGAGACAATCTACAATGTGGGAAAAAATTTTTACCAGCTGTACCTCAGACAAAGGACTATTATCAAGGATATATAAAGAACTCAAAACAATCAGTCCCCCCAAATATAAAGACCCGATTCAAAAATGGGCATCCAAAATGAACAGACATTTCTCAAAGAAGTAAAAGCAGCAAGTAAATATATGAGAAAATGTTCCACATCACTGATCATTCGAGAGATGCAGATGAAAACAACACTGAGATTCCACCTCACCCCACAAAGAATGGCTGCTATCAAGAAATCACACAATCACAAATGTTGGTGGGGTTGTGGGGAGAAAGGAACCCTTCTCCATTGTTGGTGGGAGTGCAGACTGGTGCAACCACTAGGAAATCAATATGGAGATACCTCAAAGAGCTTGGACTGGAGGTTCCATTTGACCCAGCCATCCCTCTGCTGGGTATCTTTCCAAAAGAACTAAAAGAATCATATCACAGAGAAGTATGCGCACCCATGTTTATAGTGGCACAGTTTGTAGTAGCTAAATCTTGGAAACAGCCCATTTGCCTGTTGGAAATTGGATAAGCAAGATGTGGTTTTTCTATAAAATGGAGTATTACTCAGCCATAAAGAACGAGAAAATAGATTCATTCATAGGAAAATGGATACATATTGAAGATATACTCCTAAGTGAAATAAATAAGTCACACATGTGTAAATACCGAATAGTTTCTCTTGTGTGAATAAACTGTAGTAATACATAAGATCCTAATAAGATTACTGACATTTGAGAAATGGGAAGAAAGGTGTAGGGAAGGTGAGATGGGTAGGGGAAGGGTAATAAGGGAAAAGAAAAAAATGTGAGATAATGAAAAGATGGAAATAAAGTATTTGTAGATGGGGAGGGGAGGAGGGGGTGAAGGGAGGGCAGGGGTAAGGGGAAAAAATGAGAATCAAGACTTGTCATGTACAGGTACAAGATCCCAACAATGAATGTAACTGTACTGTATCCCTAAAATGTACCAATAAACTCAATTAAAGCTGGAAAAAACAAAAAACAAAAACAAAACAAAAAAACCAACAATAAATTTTTAAAATATTTATTAAAATAAAGTATTGTAATAAATTTCATTATGAGCTTGAAGCTCCCAACATTATCTTAAGGTACCTTCTTCCCTAGCCAGTGACATTTGTGTGCTTTCTTTCTTTCAAAAGATTTTTTTGAGAAAGGGTCTTGCTATGTAGTTCAGGCTGGCCTTGAACTCATGGAGATCCTCCTACCTCAGCCTCCCAAGTGTTAGGATTATAGGTATGTGGCACCATGCTGACTTGTTATCTTTATTTCAAATGAGCACTGCAGTCACTATAAAAAGCAATTTAATACTATAACATAAGGCACAGTGTAAAACCTTGTAACTGTCTTAGAAGACCAAAACCAGATTTTAAACACTATGCTTTGGACCAGGAATATAGCTCAGCAGCACTGTGCCTGCCTGGCAAGAGCAAGGTCCTGAGTTCAATCCCCAGTACCAAAAAACAGAAAACAACAATGCAAGCACAAGGACCCGAGTTCAATCCGCAGTGCAAAAAAACAAAACAAAAAAACCACTATGCTTGTATTTTTTTCATCAATAATTTTATAGTTTCAAGTATGTGAAACCACAATTCTATTAAAAAATAATCAAAATTTTTTGTTAGAATCTGCTTTTTGAATTTTGTTTACTTTGCTGTAATTCAGAACTCTTTTAGAATCAGAAACAGATCCTAAACTTAAAGACAACTAGAAATCGGCTCCCAGTTTAACCTGCAAGACAATAGTGCGATTTATGCATTCCTAGTTCTTTCCTTTCCCAGCTCAATGTGATGAGAATGAAATGTGAAAAAAAAAAATTTTTAAAGATTACAATGATAAAAACAAGAAAAAAAATATTCAGAGGACTTCATGAAAATTACTTCAAACATTTAAGATTTAAAGTCATTTCCTTCGTTGATTTAGAAATGAAGTAGTCACCTCCAGCAGTACAGCATCACAAAGCCCTGTGTTCAATCCCCAGAAACACTCGTGGAAGCGCATGCACGCATGCACACATGCACAAGCATGCACACAGGTACAGAGCCCTGTGGGAGCTAAAACCCTCTCCACGCTGATCAAAGGATACGCTGGAAACAGTGTCTGCTGAACGGAAGGGCTGTGTTTGTGCACTGCTCGTCCTTTGTGGCTCCACTGCAAGCGGAGGGTTCTGACTCCTTCAACTTGGTCCGGCTTATGCTAAGAAAGAAAAAACACAGTTTAAAAAAAATGCTTTCAGAGTCCAAAATAGTTTTTCAACATTACTATGCTACTCTGAAACCTCCACTTATTACAATACAAACATGAGTTAAAAAAAGAGCAGGCATTACAATTAGCCAATGTGTTATTTCCCTAAGCTACTGCCATGAAGAGCAAACAATTACATCCAAATCGATTTTAAATATATCTCTTTCTCTCTTTTTTGGTACTGGGGAGCAAACTCAGGACCTTATGCTTGCGAGGCAGGTGTGCCACCACTGAGCTGAATCCCCAGCCCTGTTATTTTCTATGTGATATTTTGGTGACTTTCACTTCTTAAAAGAGAGGTAGAAAAATGATGATAAACAAGCCCAGAATCAGAGAGACCTGGTTATGAAGTTCAGCTCTACCCTCACTGTATGACAGCAAGGCACTGTCAGCTGACAGCATGAAGAGATAAACACATCCAAACCACTGATATACAAAGCACAGCGAGCAACAGTGTCAGCCACAGTGGTTACCGTTGTAGGGTTCCAACCCCTTACACTGCCGGATGGCACATCTTGCAAAAACTTTATACTTGGAATGGAGGCCACTAAGATGCAAAAATGGTCGAGTTGCTCTGATCTTCCAAACTATGCTCATGTTATCCCCTTTTTCTTTTCTGTTTGGTTTTTTGAGACATGGTCTTGCTATGTAGTCCAGAATAGCCATGAACTAACTGTGGAGCCCAGGCCGGCCTCGAACTTACAACGATCCTTCTGCCTCAGTATTGAGATTACAGGGTGCCACTATGGCTAGCTAGACATACTGTATTTTTAAACTTTGTTCCATTAACATTTAAATATTTTAATTTATTTTAAAATTTCATGAATAGATAATGCATTCACATGGTTTCAAAAGTAATAATAGTTTTATAAAGCATCACCTTAATAGGCCAAACTATCAGGCCTTTATATATGTCTGTGTAAAGAAAAAAAAATTGTGATGCAAGTCACAGATCTGTCACAAAAAAGATGGTTGTTTCTAGTATCATTCTAACAGTTTCAATGGAATGATTTATATTAATTAGATCAGGCCACACAGAATATTAATTTACATAAAATCTAAATAAAAGAATACTTCTACTATAATCATTACTTTCTTAAAACATTAAAAAATAATTACATGCTGCCATAGAGTTTGCTTTAATTAAGAGTTCTGCAAGGTTTGTCAGGATCCCAAGCCTGGAGAAGTGGATCATGACAGAATCAAAACTATTGCTAATAGCTAACATACTGCCCCTAAAAAGTGAGCACTCACATTAGTTAAGTAAAAAAAAGATAGCTTGAGTGGCTGGGGATTTAGCTCAGTGGTTCTGCCGCCTGCAAGGACCTGAGTTCAATACCTAGTACCAAAAAAAACAAACAAACAAAAAAGATAGCTTTAAATAAATCAAGCTTATTATTTTGGCAGCTAAGCCCAATTCCCTTGATCTAGATATAAAGAGAAGGATAATCTTCATTGAACATTTTAATAATTTACTTAGCTGTCTACCAAGCTTAATGTGCAACATGTTGCTCATTTTCTTTCTAGACTTCCAAAGAAATTATTGGTTTCATTTTTTAAAATCACTTTATGTTCCAGTTTATGACTCTCTCAAAATAAATCCAAAGTCAGTTCAATATCCATGGATAAATTAAGGTTAAAATGCTTATTATGGTGTTAGAAACATTATCCAAATAATCCCAACAAAAGGAATTATTAAAACTTTCTGAGATTTTTTTTACTATGAAAAATATCTACTGAAGGGCTCCTTTTCCATGTTCTACAGTATCCCAGTAAACAAGTATGTTTCTGTACAAATGACAACACACAAACAACAGTCACTGTAGGCTGGGAGCTGTCAGATACTTAGTTTTAGATTAAAATGAAGCTAGTTCAGTGGTTTATTCTACTTACCAAATATGAAAAGGCTATTAGATTAAGAAAGAATATCTTAACATTATTCAGCTTGTATATAAACTACATTTTAAATAATATATATTAGAAAGTAGATATTGAAGTTTAATTTCTAAATTATTTCTTTGAATGTCTTTTGTAGACCAGTTACTTTTAAATGAACAACAGCAGGGCCAGGGATTTAGCTCAGATGTTCCGTCGCCTGCACAGCAAGCGCAAGGATCTGAGTTTGAACCCCAGTACCGAAAGAGAAAGAGAAAGAGAAAGAGAAAGAGAAAGAGAAAGAGAAAGAGAAAGAGAGAGAGAGAGAGAGAGAGAGAGAGAGAGAGAGAGAGAGAGAGAGAAAGAGAAAGAGAAAGAGAAAGAGAAAGCGAAAGCAAAAGCAAAAGCAAAAGCAAAAGCAAAAGCAAAAGCAAAAGCAAAAGCAAAAGCAAAAGAAATGAACAACAGCAGATGTAGGACATCATGTGAGTAACAACTAATTGTTCTTAACCAAAGATAAAAATTACAATAATAAGTGGCACAATATGTATATGTCCCAATTCCCCAAAAGGAATGTAATATTATGTATCACAAATATATACTATTAAAAAGAAACTATCAATGACACAATAATCATCAGTGACACAATACAAATGTTTTAGTAATCATGAGTAACAATCACAATACATCAAATCAACTGAAAAGAGTAAGGGAACACATCAGGTCTTACTGTTTTGTTATCGGGCGACACATACTTTTTTTATATCGCACTGGGAGATGTTCTGAAAACAATTAGTTAAAAATCATAGAACTGGGGTATAGCTCAGTAGTAGAGCACTTAGGTAGCATTTGTGGGACCCTAGGTTCAATACTCAGCACCACTAAAACATAAAATATATGTATATGATATACATTTTCCACAGAAATACCTAATTGTCCCTAACTAACTGTACAGACTTACACCTTTGAAAAGATTATAAAATACTAGACTCTTTGAAGACAGGGTCTCATTATGCAGTTCAGGCTGGTCTTGAATTCACTAAGTAGTCCTGGCTGGCCTCAAATTCATGGAGATCCTCTTGGATCAGCCTCCCAAGTGCTGGGGTCACAGATGTGTGCCACCACACCCAACAAAGATCATTATTTTATAACTTGTATCAAATTGAGTGCAATGTTTGAACAAAGAGAACAGATTTTCACACATTCAATGCCAATCATTTCTTCATCAACAGCACAGATTTGAGAAAAAAAAGGCACCTCGTTCCTGTACTCAGAAATTCCTTCCTAGCATGAAAATTTTATTCAGGTAATTCATGATCTTTACAGAAAATGAAAATTAGACTGATTCAGCAAGCCATGAGTTCTGGTCTAAGGTCTCAGGTTTCTATCAGGTTCCCCAGTGCTGTGATGCTGCAGGCATTCTGACCATGCTTTTAGCAGGAGCTAGGACACCACAGGGTTGCAGTTCTTGTGCCCTCTGGTGGCCAGAACCTTCTTAACAGCACCAGTTGAGCATGTTGGAAGTCTCATCTAATATACATTAAATAACCCTAACCCTAATCCTAACTACAGAGATGATGACCATAATGAAGCACATCGTTAGTGAATCTAGAATACAGATTTTTTAAAAAAAATAGAGGATCTTAGAAAAGTAATAGAAACCATGAATGCCCAATATAGGAAAGAAATAAATTCCATGAAATAGATTCTTCTAACAGATATCCTACTACAGGAGGTTAAAATTTCTACTGAAAATATATGCAGGAGAATCAACTGTGAGGTAGACTATCAGAACTAGAAGACAGTTTGCAGTTAACCATGTCAAATGGAAGATATCTTAAAAATAGCAAGGGACCTAGGCGTGGTGGCACACACCTCTAATCCTAGCATTCCTGAGGCAGGAGGATCACCAGCCTGAGCTACACAGTGAGTTCAAAACCAGCCTAAACTACATGAGACCTTGTCTTCAAACAAACAAACAAACAAACAATCTGATCACAGACTAGCAGGAAACTTCCCAAGCATAGAAAAAGAATTTGACATACAGATAAGTAAGGCATATTGAACATGCATATAATGATAATCAAGATTCCAGAAATTCAACACAAAAAACAAAATATTAAAAACTGCAGGGCCGGGGATTTAGCTCAGTGGTTCCCCCATCTGCTTCACAAGCACAAGGACCAGAGTTTGATCCCCAGTACCAAAAAAAAAGCTGTTAAGAGAAAACAAATCACCTATAAAGGAAAATCCATCAGAATACAGCAGACTTCTCAACACAAACCCTTAAGTAAAGAAGAACATGGAGTGAAGTATATTAAGCCCTAAAAGAAAACAAGTTCCGATCAGAATTTATGTACCCCACTAAGTTATCTTTCAAAATTGATGGAGAAATAAGATACTTCCATGATAAAGAACACCTGAAGAAATGCATGATCACCAAACCAGAACTCCAAAAAGATCTGAAAGATATTCTAGAAAAAGACAACAATTCCAAGAATCCCAACAGAATGAATCCTCTAGGCAAGGCAAGCAATTAAGGGGGAAACAAGAGAACTAACAACAGGAAAGTAATATGACAAGGATAACTCAATACATTATAATCATCAATGTAAATGGTCTCAATTCACCAATCAAAAGAAACAGATTGGCAGAATGGATCAAGAAACAAGATCCAACAAAACACTGCATGCAAGAAACAGATTAAACTCAAAAAGAAACTCACAGACTGAAAGTCAAAGGATGCAAAACAATACTCCAGGTGACAGGAGCCCAAAAAAAGGTAGGAGTATATTGTATATTCTATTTACAGGTAAAGGAAGTCAAGCTAAGACTGGTCAAAAGAGACAAAGAAGGTTCCCACATAATTATTAAGGGAACAACAGAAGAGAAAAAGACAACAATCATAAATATATATGCACCAAATGCCAATTCACACAACTATATAAAACAAACACTAATGGATATAAAAGTCAGATAAGCATTAATACACTCATGATGGGAACCACAATACCCCACTGTCACAAATAGATCAACTAGATAAAGAAAAAAAATACCAAGAAACAAATATCAGAGATACCTTTGAGCAAAAGGACTTAAGTAGATGTATATAGTGTTCCACCCCACAATAGAATACATTCTTCTCTGCACACAAGACTTTTTGCAAAAGAGACCACACACTACCTCATAGAAAATACTTAAATAAATGCAAAGGAACTGAAATTATCCCATGCATATTATAGACCATAGTGAAATGCAAATTCAAAATCAAAGGGAAAAGAAACCACAAAAAATACATAAATATGAAAATTAAATCACTCCCTCCTGAACAACCAATGGGTCACAGATGAAAGTAAAGAAGAAATTCAACAGTTTCTATAATTAAATAATAATGCCAGTACAATGTATCAGTACTTACGGGACTAATGAAAGCAGTCCTACGAGGGAAATGTATAGTGGTGAATTCCCAATCAGAAAAACAGAGCAAGAGCAAATAAATAACCTACTCTTGAACTTCAAGGTTCTAGAAAAAGATGAGCAAGTTAAATCCAAAGTCTTATAAGAAAGGAAATTATAATGATTAGAGCAGAAATTAATGCAATAAAGACCAAGGAAACAATACAAAGAATCAATGATTTGGGCCACAGATAGAGCTCAGTGGTGCTGTGCTTGCATGGTAGGTACAAGGTCTTGAGTTAGATCCCTGGTACTAGGAAAAAAAAAAATTAATGAATTTAAAAGTTGGTTCTTTGAAAAGTTAAATAAAATGACAAACCCTTGCCAATCTTATTTTTAAAAAAAGAGAAGACTCAAATCAATGCAACTAGGAATGAAAAGGGATAAATCACAACGGGTCCTCCAGAAATCCAGATCACCCATACCCTAATAAGATGGAAAACAGGAGGACAGATTCCTAGATGCATATGAATTACAAAGCTAAATCAAGAAGATTTTAAAATTCTAAATAACCCAGTATCAGGAGCCGGGTGTGGTGGCATACACCTGTAATCTCAGCACTCTGGAGGTTGAGGCAGGAGGATCGTTGTGAGTTTGAGGCCAGCCTGGGCTACACAGCAAGTTCAGGGCCAGCCTGAACTACGAAGGAAGGGAGACCTTGCCTCAAAACAAAACCCAATATCAGCAATGAAATTGAATTAAAGAACTACCAACAAAGAAAAACTTAGGTCCTGATGGATTTGTTGCTGAATTCTACAAGAAAGTTAGAGATACAATTTCACTAATGCCACTATTCCTCACATTCTATAATGAAATTGAAAATGAAGCAACATTCCCTAAGTCATTCCTGGAAGAAAGCATTACCCTGATACGAAAACTGGAGAAGGATCTGACTAAAAAATAGAACTACAGGCCAATCTTCCTAATGAACACTGACACAAAACTCCTCAATATAAGATACTAGCAGGGCCAGGGATTTAGCTCAGTGGTTACACTAACTGTCTCGTAAGAACAAGATCCCCAGTTTGATCCCTGGTACCAAAATTAATTAATTAGTTAATTAATTAAAAAGATTGAAGGACAAACCAACAGCCAACATCATAGTAAATGATCAAAAACTAAAAGCTTTCACTCTGAAATCAGGAACAAGACAAAGATAGCCACTATCACTGCTCCTATTCAGTATAGTTATGGAAACATTAGCCAGAGCAGCTGGACAAGAGAAAGAAATAAAAGGAATATGGATAGGAAAGGAAGAAGGTAAATTATAATTGTGGATGACATGATATGCTACATAAAATACCCCCCCACAACTCCAACAAAAGACTCCTAGAATTAATAACCACATTCATTAGCACAGTAGGATACAAGTCAACAGTCAAAAGTCAATAGCATTCCTATACACAAATAACAAACTCACTAAAAGAGAAATTAGGGAGACAGCACTTTTCACAGCATCAAGAAAAATGAAATATTTAGGAATCAATCTAACGAAGTAAAGTACCCTTTACACTGAAAACTATAACTCTGAAAAAGAAGATGGAAGATGATAGCAGAAAATGGAAAGATATCCCGTGTTCTTGGGTAGGAAGAATCAATAGTCAGAATGGTCATACTTCCCAAACTGTTATACAGATTTAATGCAAGCCCAATCAAAATACCAATAGCATTCCTCACAGGATTAGAGAAAACAATACTAAAATGCATATGGAACCAGAAGAGATGCAGAACAGAGAAGCAATTCTGGGCAATGAAGGCAAGGCAGGGGGCATCACAATCCCTGACTTGAAATTATACCACAAAAATGCAGTAATAAGAACAGAATGGTACTAGGGGAAAAAAATGACCCAAGGATAAATGGAACAGAATAGAAGATGCAGAAACAACTCCAATCACAATCAGCTTCCTTGTTTCAACAAGGAGGCCAAACACTTTCACAAGAAGATAGCCTCTTCAATAAACTGTGCTAGAAGAACAGGCTTTCCATATGCTGAAGACTAAAACTAGACCTGTATCTCTGACCATGCACTAAACTAAAATTGAAATAGATCAAGCCAGGTCTGGTGGTGCACATCTGTAATCCCAGCACTCAGGAGGCTGAGGCAGAAAGATCTCCCTGAGTTCAAGGCCAGCCTGGGCTACATAGTGGGTTCAAGACCAAACTGAACTACACAGTGAGACTCTGTCTCAAAAGACCAAAAAGATCAAAGACCTAAATATGAAAATATCAACTGGTGTGGTGGGATACACCTGTAACCCCAGCACTTGGGAGGCTAAGCAGGATGACTGCTGAGTTTAAGGCCAGCCTAGGCTACACAGTGAGTTCAAGGCCAACCTGAACTACACAGGGAGATCCCATCTCAAAAAACAAAACATTGCCAGGGATTTAGTTCAGTGGTGCCAGCACCTGCCTGGCAAGTGAAAGGTCATGAGTTTGATCCCCAGTGCTGAGAAGAAGAAAAACAAAAACAAAACAAAACAAAACAAAAAACAGTAACAATCTGCTAGAAGACAGAATAGCAAAAGTCTTGAAAACATGGGCATAGGCAAAGACTTTATGAACAAAACCCTGATCACACAGGAAATAATCATGAATCAACAAATGATACAGCATTATATTAAAAAGCTTTTATACAGCAAAAGAAACCACCAGCATAGTTAAGAGATAACTCACAGAATGGGAAAAAATTTTACCGGGTATTCCTCAGACAAAGGACTAATATCTAGAATATATAAAGAACTTAGAAGAACCAGATCCCCCAAATATAAAAACTCAATTCAAAAATGGGCATCTGAAATGAACAGACTATCCTCACATGAATAAGTATAAAGAGCAAATAAATGTAGAAAAAAATGTTCCACATCACTGGTCATTTGAGAAATGCAAATTAAAACACAGATTCCATATCACTCCAGAATGAATAGCCATCATCAAGAAATCAACCAATAACAAATGTTGGTAAGGCTGTGGGAAAAAAAGGAACCCTTTTCTACTGTTGGTGCGAGTGAAAACTGGTTTAACTAGCATGGAAATCAATATGGAGATGCCTCAAAAAACTTGAGGTTCCATTTGACTCAGCTAGTACCTTTCTAGCTATCTTCCCCAAAGAATTAAAAGCATCATAGCATAGCAATACATGCACATGCATACTTATAGCAGCAGTTTGTAATACCTAAATCTTGGAAATAGCCCAAATGCCCATCAAGTATTGAATGGGTAAAGATTTTTTATTTTTTTGGTACCAGGGATTTAATTCAGGACCTTGTGTGTGCAAGGCAGGCGGCAGTACCGCTAAGCTAAATCCCCAGCCCTAGGATAAAGATTTTGTTTAATGCAATGGAGTACTACTTTGCCATAAAGGATAGACTTGAGACATTTCTAGGTAAATAAATGTACCTTGAGACCATACTCATAAGTGAAATAAACTGAACATACATGTTTAAATATCATTGTTTTTCTTGCATGAGAAATCCAAAGGGTAAAAAGGATCAAAATGGATAGATACTGGAAAGTAGAAAGAAAATGTTCAAATGGGAAGGGGAACAAGGGACGGGGAGGGAACAGGTATACAAAAATTAAAAATAGAAGGAAAACAATAGAAACATCCTCTTGCAAAGGAAGAGGGGAAGAGAGATTAAAGGGAAAAGAGAGGAATGGTATAAAAAGAGTTAAGATATATACAGGTACAAATTCCCCATGATAAATGTGATCCTTATGTATTTCAAAAGTGTTCCAATAAATTAATTTTTAAAAGAGGTAAAGACAAAGTTCTCAAATGAATAAATTCTAATCAAACTCCACTGAAAATTCAGTGATGTTTTTGTTTTACCATCAGCTTATATTGCTACCTGTACAGTACCCCCCCCTCCCTCCCTTTCCTACTGGGGATAGAACTCAGGACCTAGTGCTTGCCAGGCAGCCTCCTGGCCCTACACTGCCTTTTCTGACCAACAAAACTAAAATATAATGCTCAAATACATGGGGATGAAATGTCCATCTCACAACGTGCTATAACTAATCTCTCCATACAGAAAACCCAAGTGCACAGCACACAGGCCGGTAGGGAAGGCTGACTGAGGTAGGAGGACTGAGAGATCAAGTACAGACTGGACTCAAGGGTGTTTCAAGGCATGGGAAGACCCGGCTTCAAAATGCATGACAGAGCACAGAGCAGCGCTCCTCCAATTGGGGGCTCTGTGCCTCACCTGGCCTGGCCGCATGCCTCTCTCTGCAGCTCCTGCAGCAGCTGGCCGGCGCTCTCCGGCTCCCGGCTGGCTGCCTGCAGCAGCGCCTTCCTCAGAGCCAGCCTGCATCGCTTCTGCCGTGACTCCTCCCGCGCCAGGCGGCAGAGGTGCTTGTACTTCTGCTGAAAGTAAGTGCAAAGTTGGGTCACCCTGGAGCTCCTGCTCTCCACATCGTCATCGTCAGACCTGGAAAATGCAGGGAAAGAAGTGAAAAACTGTTTACATGTCACGCCCATCTTAGAAAGGGAAAATGTGAATGAGGGTGCACAGGTTTAAAATGTTTCTGGCATCTAAGAACATTTTTTTAAACAGCAGAGAAAAAAAAGATTCATGCTATGTCTAAATCTTAAGTGAGTAGGAACTTGCAGAAAATAATTTCTCTATTTACTAAAAAGTATGAGGAGATAAATGGCAGTTCTGAGGAAACACACACCATAAAGTCATAAAAGGTCACTGCAGAAACACAACAGTGAACACCAACACTACAATTCCTCAAAATGGCCCTTTACACATGCTGTGATTTAACTATCCTTTTCTTGCTAAATACTTTAAGGATCTTGATTGTACTGTAGAGCTCACACTAATTTTCCAGTGATAACTCTAGCTGTATGCTAGACAGCTTTTCAGAGAGCAGGGATTAAGTCCAGGTTTTCCCATCCTGTGCTAACATGATTAATTAGTGATGGTAAGTGTTCATCTGATTCTAGGCTCAACAGAAAACAGCTATGGCTAACAGCATTGTGTATCACCAGAAAGATTAAAGTCTTCACAGTTCTCTCTCTCTCTCTCTCTCTCTCTCTCTTTTTTTGGAGACAGGGTCTCACCATGTAGTTCAGGCTGGCCTTGAATTCCCAGCACTCCTCCAGCCTCAGTTTCCCCAGTGCTGGGATCACAGGCATGCGCCACCATGCCGAGCAAAATATTCACTGTTCAGGCCAGAGATTTAGCTCAGAGGTTCCACCACCTGCCTCGCAAGCCCAAGGACCAGAATTCGATCCCCGGTACCAAAACAAAAACAACACAGTTCTATGAACAAATGTGATCTCATTTTCTGTTTTTAGTTATAAAGCACTACTACTAACCTGTGTTATTTCCTTTCTCTTCTATTGTAAGTAAATCACACATAATCTTAAGGTTTTTTTTTTGGTACCAGGGATTGAACTCGGGTTCTTATGCTCGCAAGGCAGGCGGGCGGTGGGTGGAACCACCGAGCTAAATCCCTGGCCCCCTAACCTTCTTTTAGAAATCATTACTTTTGTCCTCTTAAGAGGTGTTATTCCTCTTCCTTTCAAAATAGCCTATAACTGGCTACTCTATAAATTTATATAATCTCTTGTACAAACATAACTTCTATAGTTTTACTACAGACAAACTGAAGGATCTTACTTCAATCTTCCCTTATTCAACATTCAACATTACACTGAGCACTAAAGAACAGAGAACAAAGTTTCAAACAGTTTGCAGCAAAATTTATATAAGAAAAACACATTCCAAAATTAAATAACTTGAAAGAATCTAGAATGAATAACTAAAGCAGTGGGACACACAGACCAATACTTGAAGTATCTGAACACACACCAGAAAAATCTAAGAGTATTTTAAGTTTCAGATTTCCAGGACCTATACCAGATCTGCTGAACTAGAATCTCCCTGTGAGATGCCCCATCCCATGAATCTTTATCTTGTGTTGCTAGCCAAAGTTTCATAATAGGTCTATACTTGGGAGTTGTGTGAGGCCAATAGGGCTCTAAATGTCTTTAATAAGAGACAGGCAGCAGAAAGTCCACGCGACTTACGGATACAGAGCTACTCAGTTCACTAGAAAGACTTGGATTGAAGGCCCTGGAAAGGGGATGACAACAGAAATAACTCTTGAAGAAATGGTAGAAGTTGAAGATAAGAGTCAGACATGGTAGTGCACACCTGTAATGCTAGCATTCAGGAGGCTGAGGCAGGCAGGAGGATCGCAAGTTTGAAGCCAGTCTGGGCTACACAGAGTTCAGGACCAGCCTAAACTACAAAGCAAGACCCTATCTCAAAACAAAACAAAAGGGCTGGGGATTTAGCTGTGGTTCCACCATCTTCTTCACAAGTGCAAGATTCCGAGTTCCATCCCATGTAAAAAAAGGAAAAAAAAAGTTGAAGATGAAGAAAAAAGGGGACTCTAACAAGAATAGAATAGGGCTGGGGATTTAGCTCAGCAACATAACACCTGCCTGGCAAGCATAAGGTCCTGGGTTCAATCCCTGGTACCATAAAAAAAAAAGAAGAATAAAATCACATAAGCTAGGGCCCAAGGAGGTAAAGACACACTTTGTCAACTGGAGAAGGAAGATGCAAAGGGATAATAATTACCCAGCAGTTTCCATTAATGAAAACAAAGGAAGGACAGTAGTAAAAACTCATAAAATAAGGAACCAGAGAAAGAGCCAATCTAGAGCAAAAAATGAATCTCATTTCAGACAAATGAATTCCTTATCTTCATTATTTGGCAATGTGGAGATTCAAACCCTGTACATTAAACATTTGACAACTGCTCTACACCCGCAACACAAAAGTAATTTAAAGTACAACGTATGCTTCCAAGTAGGAGCCTGCTCAGGGTAAGGACAGAGATTTCAGAGTAAACAACTAACCCTGGAAAAATAAGGGCATATCTACAAGAAGTCACAGAGAGAATGCAAAAAACAATACATAAAAAGGCCAGTATCATAAATGAATTAATTCAATTTGGCAACTGAATATAAAGGATAAGAAAGTAATGACTCAACAGCTCTGAGTCTGCATAACTAAGAGAACGGAAGTACTATTTATAAAACAGGAAAGAGAGAAGCAAAGACAGGTCTTACAGGAAAGTTAAACCTTGGATAATCACCTGTCAAAATCGTTACTTGAAAAGATTATTACTGCAGGGAAGATGGAATATATGAGGGCCTCTCAAATTTAGACGCACTGGATAGGGAGGCATGTGACACAACTGTAAAAGTTTCTAAGGCATATTCATAATATTCATGGTTAACCCTCATCGCAGACTAGTAACAAGCAGTTTGTAGCTTGGCACAGTTCCTCCGACCTCTGACATGAACTTAATTCTCCAAAATGCTTCCTATTTTTTCCCCAGTACTGAAAATTAAACCCAGGGCCTTTGCACTGAGCTATATCCCTAGCCATTTTCTATTTTTTATTTTGAGATAAGGACTCACTAAATTGCCCAGGCTGGGACCGAACTTGTGATTGTTTTGACTCAGTTTCTCAGAAGGCTGAATTAGCAGGCCTCTGCTAAGATCCATAGTGGTACCATTTCAGACCTGGTGCTGAGGAGCAGGGCACCAGGGAGAGAAAGGCCAGTTCCCCATTCCTGAGTTTGGTGGCAGTGACAGGGCCTGGAAGCTCTTGTGTTCGCAGGACTGTATTAGTTTCTTTTCATATCTAACTTCCCTCATCTGGGACAGGAGAGATACAGCTGATCTGCCCACTTCCCCAGGAGATAAGAATGAAAAGAAACGGGATCTGTGAAATCACAACTAAGGAAGGTATTGTTATTATTAAGACATTATTGACAAAACACAAACAAAGCAATAAATCCCAAATTTGACATTCTAAGACTCCAGGTTTGCCCATAATCTCAGGGCATTACATAAAATTCTCAAGTTAGATTCGTTCTGAGCTGGCTGTAATGGTGCATATCTGTAATCCCAGCACTCAGGAGGCTGAGGCAGGAGGATCACAATGTTCCAGGCCAGCCTAGGCTACACAGTTAGCTTAAGGCCAGCCTGAGCTATATAGCAAGACTCCTATCTCAAAAGAAGAGAAAAAAATTGTGATTTATTTTATTAAATCAACAAAAACATCTGGGCATGGTGAGTGAACTGCAACCCCAGCTATTCAGGAGGCAAAGGCAAGCAGATCACAAATTTGAGGCTGGCCTGGTCAGCTTAGCTGGACTGTGCCTCCAAGTAAAATACAAAGAGGGGTGGGGATGTAGTCCTGTGGTAGATCACTTACCTAGCGTGCATAAGGCCTTGGGTTCAATCCCCAGTATCCCCCGTTCCAACATACACATAGAGCAAACAACAAACACCTCTGATAAAAACAGGGGAATCAGAAAGGAACTATAATAAGAAAAATAAATAGATATTGAGAAAAATGAGTCTAATTTGGAAATGCTGAATTTAAGTTATGGACAATATTTGATGAGATATCCAACAGGCACTTAAAACACCAAAGAATGGTCAGACATGAGAAAATAATTTGGGAGTCATTCACACAGAAATAACAGGTGAAACAACAGCAAAAGAAGGAAATGTTTATGGAAGTTTAGCTAATGTAAGGGAACCTGCCATTCTAAAGCTACTACATACTGGGTAGATAAACTGCTGCTCTCAAAGTAAGTGGAAGCAATCTTTTCCCAAAGTGGCCAAAAGTAAGTAACAATAAAAAAAAATCTCAGAATTGAAGCTGAAGTTGAAAGAAGGGTGCAAAAGGGAAGACCTGGGCTGATCTCAGGGCACTTGCTCATGTACAGTCCCACCCAACAAGATGAAATAGTTGAATTAAAATTACAGAACTGCAGGACCTAGAAAACTAATCATGCAAGTGAGGTAAGCCACTGTGCATGACAAAAATAAACAGAATAATAATTTTAGTCATACAAGGGCCCTAAAAGTTGGAATTATGAACATGAAAATTATACATGAGACATTTAATAAGAAGGCAAAAAAGACTAACAGGTGGCTGAGTGTGGGGCTGACCCTTAATTGCAACAGTTGGGAGGCTGAGACAGGAGGAATGAGCCTGAAACCAGCCTGGGCTACTTTAGCAAGTTCAAGGCCAGTTTGGATTACATAAACAAGACCCTGTCTCCAAAAGAAAAACAAACAAACAAAGAGGGATAGTCAAGTACATGTGAAAAACAAATGATACTCCAATAAATAAGTTATTTTCAATAAAAATTCTATATTTTATCCATAATTTGAAAATCAAGGCAATTAGGTTCACCCTCACTATGAATATTTAATACCTTAAATATCTTAGTACAACAAAGGCAGAAATGGGAGTAAAAGGCATAAAGACTGGAAGTAAAACCATCCATACTCAAAAGAATTTATCCAAAAACATCTAGAATTAAAGAAATTTATCAAAACTACAGAATATTCAGTATTAACAACTGCTGGTTAACCTATCAT